TTTATTTTTAGCCCCATTTTAAGCTTAAAATTGCCCCAACTTGGATGAAAAATTACCTGGTCACTCTATTGATATACCAACTTTCGATACATCACTATTTTTGTATATATACAATAATTTGGAACCCAATGAAGTTCTCCATTTAGCTTTAAAAATCTATCTTAAAAAACTATTAAGAAGCTCTGAACTCTGAAGAATCCATGAAGTGAGGTGTCTTGTTAGTCCCAGGTGTTAATAATCTCTGAAGTTTTGGGGGATTGGAAAAGGTTTGCTACCAGCTTCTTGTCCTATGAGAACATGGTGTGTAATAACAAAAGACAGTATTATTCAAATGGCAAGAACAAGTCTGAGAAGTGATTCTTAGCCCCCAGAAAGATGAGGGAAGGGTGAGGTTTCTGGAATCGGGAGGCTTTTGAAGTGTCAGAGGCTTTGGTTGGGAAAACTTTTGGCAGATGGGTTATTTTTAACACAGACCTTCATATGTCAGCAAATACTTATTTTTCCAAATTGCTCGACACCAAGAACAATGTGGTTTATGCTGAAGTCTGATTACACAGTACCTGCAGTATGTCATCTCCTGGCTCATATCTGACCCAGTAACGCTCCATCTGTGGCCTCCCCTCTAATTCTTGACTGTCTGCATCCATTATCTAGTTTTTACCTTTATTTTAGATTCATTCTTTGCTTTGCCATTATCAGACAAAACAAAAATGCAGAATAGTGAAGGCTAAATAGAGAGAAAGGAAGGAAGAAAGGCAGAGAGGAAGGGAGGGGGAAGAGAAAGAAAGAGAAGGAAGGAAAGAGAAAGAAAGGAAAGAAAGAAAGAAAGAAAGAAAAGAAAAGAAAGAAAGAAAGAAAAAGGAAAGAAAGGAAAAGAAAGAAAAGAAAGAAAGAAAAAAGAAAAAGAGAAAGAAAGAAGAGAGGAGAGGAGGGGAGAGGAGGGGAGGGAAAAGGAGAGGAGAAGAGACGAGGAGAGAGGAAGGAAGAAAGAGAAAAGATAAAAGAAAGTGCTGAAAAGTGGGGAGATTTACATAGTGGGCAAAATGAATAAGGATAGAGGATATGACCAAAGGAGTGTGCATGTCCATTTTTAATGGGAAACCCCCTCTTTTGACAGTTTTATTGCTTTAGGAGTGCAACCCAGTGGTGGCTGGTTACTAATATCTTGCTTTATAAATAGCAGCTCCTAAATACTCTAGTGGTAAACCTTGGTTCATTTCTCTTGTGTGCTAATAAGGGTATTATTCTTGTGCCAACAGATATGATTTTCTAGCACATATGTTTCTGAAAGAAAAAAAACCCTACTCATCATGTGAAAATATAACCCATAAATTTGGAGTTTGAATTGGCTGCATATTGCACAGTCTATGCTATACCCACTTCCATTTTAATTATTCTTCTTTACAAATAGAGATAGTAGTCTATGAATGCATTATTAATGTAGAATATTTCCTTTGTTTTTATAGGCTTTGCCAGAGGCCATATTGAATTCAAAGTTTTGGGTTATTTCTGAGTCAGAAACCTCATACATTTGGATAAAAACCAAACTTCCAACATTTAATCTTAACTTAGCAGAATATTTTATACACATTAAATTTTATTCAAAAAGGTCTTAGCTATTTAAAATCTTTCTTACTACTCACATATATAAAGGCTATCATTCTGCTGAAAAATCATTATTAATGATTCATACCTTCTGTCCTGATTGTGTTTGGGGAATAAAGATGTTTGTTTTGTCTATGGCCAAGAATTCTCTTCTTGAAGAAAGAGTACAATGTTTAAAAATTAAAGCCCGTGGTTATTCTAGATGTGCCATATTATCTAAAAGTAAGTGTTTACTGACCCCCTCAAGGGTTTAAAGACTCACAGAAAAGTAAGATTTTTCTTCTGGAACAAATTCATTCTAACATCCAAGAGTAAGACATAACATGAGATCAGAAAAATCATTGAGAATTACAGCAGGGAGAACCCTTTCATTATCATCAAGCCCCACCACTATCATGTAATAAATGTGGAAATTGTGCCCCAGAGTGATCCAAATGACTTCTTTGGGTCTAGTGTGTAGTCTCTAATGTGGAAATCTTGACTTTTAGTTCAAGGTTCCATCTTCAATGGACTTCTTACTCATGTTCTTCAATGAGCGCTTGTCTCCAGTTTTATGATAGCTTCGTCAGTGTCTTACCTGGTAAACAGGTGCTTGCAATCGTATAAGGTTATGAGAAATGAAGAGTAAAAAGAACTAGTCTCAACATGGTTGTCTCCCTTGGTGCAAAAAACCCATGCCATAGAGTCAATAAAAGGTGGATCAACTGAGTCACATATCTGAAGAACAAGGGTAACCTGTTATTACCAAATATCATTTCTTTTGTAAAGCAGAGAACATATATAATTCTCTTGCAATGTACATAATTCCTTTAAGTTGAGATTTTTATATATTGCATCTGTTTTTGTATTTTAATGTGTAGTAGGAAGAGGGTAGAGGAGAACTAAATAAAGGAGGACAACAGAGTACAGAGTAGGAGATATTTTGGAGTCAGTCAGTCCCAGATGAATATTTCAACTTTTCTGCTTCCTATCCATGTGATTTTAGAATGATTACCCAACATTGCCTACATAATTATTATGAGGATTAAATGAAATTATAAATTATGAATGTGAAAACACCTAACAGTCCTTGGCACGTATTAGGAGTTCAGTAGTGCTAGTTTTTTTCCTATAGTGTACAAAACATAATTTAACCCATAAACCATCAGCCACCTGTTGTTTGTTTGTCAGAGGCCCCATATTAGTCACTCTAGAGAAAAAGAAAAGGATGTCATCCAGCATCACTAATTTTCTGAATATCATGAGCTAAAATAATGTTTAATAATATTTTGTGAAACACAATACGGCTGAATGCTCTTATAGATGGTATATGGTATTTCCAACTTGAGGAAGATTATAATGACTTTGTGATCTAGAAAAATTAGGGTCTTGGAATATAATTGTCAATTCAGGGTCATCTTTCAAAGTTAAGAGAGGTAGGGGTGCACTACAGAATAACCCAAGATACATTTTCATTGCCTACTTCCTAAACTTCTCTTTAGTCCAGCTCCTCATTTCTGTTCTGTCACTTACTTTTAGTTTTAGACATCATTATTTCCTACCTGGATTTTTGCCAAGATGTGAAATTGGTTTTCCTGCCACCACTCTCATCACCTTCCAGTTCATTGTCCATGATCTGTCCAGAGGGATCTTTTAAAAATTTAAACCTGATTCCCTGCCTCTTCTGCTTAAAATGGCCCCTTTATACCTACAGGTTGAAGTCCTGATTATTCACATGTTATTCAAGATTGTATGTTAATTAGCCCATGTCTACCACAACAGTCTCACTCATCACACTCAAGACTTTTCCAAACATTCCAGTAGTTCCTAGCAGTGGACTTTGTACCCCCCCCCAAAAAAAAACAAAACACTTGAGACTTGAGACTTGAGTCTCTGCACATTTGTGTGCACTATTTCCTCTTCTAGGAATACCTCACCACCACCACCTCCCTTTATTTCAGGTTGATTAACTTCTGATGGTCTTTCAAATACTTGGTCAAGTATTATTTTTTTCTGGCAACTCTTCTTTCACTTTCCCGTTATCATAAGTATATGTTCTACTTATTTCCTCTCAGGATCACATGGGCCTTTTCCACACAGTATTATCATTTAGGCCATGAATTCCTTGGTGTGAGGGAAGTATCTTTATGTCTTCAATACCTCAAAATGTTAGTGTGTGGGTTTATTCACAGTTAGAATTGCTATCATGTGGTCCAAATTTAAAGCTTTATGATTTTCAGGCTTTGGTCAGAATAGGTGATTACAGCAAGTAAAGTTGTAGTAGGCAACTATGTCAGAAAGTTCTGTTGGCATGGGAAGTAGATGGGGAGACTGAGTCTCCTCCCCTAGCACAATATCCATTCCTTTGTGAAGCAGTAAGCTAAGGAAAGGCCGATTGCAAAATGTTAGTTAGAGCTGGAAGGGATTTGAGATCATTCCCCTGTTTTGAGAAGCAGAAATGAAGTGCCAGAGAGTCTTGCCAGCATGATAGGATGGTCAGTGGCAGAGCTTGGTCCAGAACCCAGTTATCTTCCTTCCCAATCTATGTCAAATTCCTGTTTCATTGGTCAGGCTGCAGAGATAGTTCTAACCTGGTAAGTCATGTCACCATGTAGGAAGATTGTCCTGTTTTGATTTGGGACTACTCAACACTTGACAAAAAAATAGCTTCAGGCTGCAAGAAGGCCATTGACTTGCTCTTTCATATTTATTCCACTGGCATGTTCTCATGAAATGACCTCCTCTTTTCCTCTCATTCCCCTTCCCTGTCTCAAAAAATGAAACTTCCGTCTGACATATGGAAAGGTGCCAACATCAGCCAGTGCATATATTAAAGTTTTAAATCAGTTATTGTTCTAGTACACACCCTGGGGTTGAGAAAGAAAGAACATCCAGGACTAACAAACCTGATTGTTCTGGCAAAGTTGCCATTCAATTCATGCTGGCATTTCTGGGCTTTTCTTTTTCTTTAATACTCTAACCTCATTTTTTTTATAAAAAGGTAACAGCTCAAGTGGCAGTTTTTAACATTACTATTTCATTCAATTCCTCCATGAGACTTCTACCTCCTAGTCTCTTGAGGGTTTCCCAGAGGGCACTATGCCCAGAGTTTGCTTATTACTTAATTGTAGAGACAGCTGTCAGTCTGATAGTGAATTCATTAGACCGTGGATTATTCCTCACTTTATGACCCTCTAAGCAAAGGAGAGACTCAGGCTTGGGGCCATGAACACTTCACAACTTGGCATTCTTAGATTGAGAAAAAGACTTAATCATAACATTTAAGAAACCAAATTACAGCTGTGTATAACAGAGAATTTTAACTTAACAACTGCTCTGAATTGGATCTATACAAGTATTCTGATTAATACTGCTCTAAAATTCCTATTAAAGTATGATGCACTTTTTTTTTCTAGGCAAGTACTGGAAGTCAGTAAGGATGGTGGCTCTGCCAAGGGGTTGTGCTTTGGCTGGGACTCAGTTGCAGGAGGAGACCGAGACTGTTTCTGCCCTGGCCTCCCTGACGGTAGATGTAGAACAGCCCTTTGCTTCAGAAGATAGCAGGTATGGATCCCACATGGGGGAGTCAAGGTCAGTAACATCCAGGCTCATCATTAGCATTTGTGAACCTCTCTCCAGGCTTTCCTTCACCTGTCTCCTCCACTTTCACCACCTGTCTTCTTCAAAGCCACAGATGCCACAGCAAATGCTGTAGGCCACCAAGAATTCATTTGTTTATTCTTCATGGGAAACATAGAGCTGCAGCATGTCATTGCAGTTCACAGAGAATTAGAGTGGATGAGATACATAGAGAAATCACTCCTCATTGGATAATTTAAGTGCAGATCATTATGGAAAGAGCTACTTGTGTGTTTTACTTTCCTTAGTTATCTCTGTTTCTCCAGGTATTCTTTTTCCTTCTATCATCATTTTAAAATTACTGATATAACAAAGTGAAAAAAGGAGAGGGGAAGCTGGACATATTACTAGTCAGTTGGATAACCTAAGTACATACAAGCTCCTTCTGTGACTGCCCTTATGGTACAAGGACTAGATAAAGGTAGAAGTTGCCTCCAAAGGAGAAAAGAGTGTGTATAAAGGAATGTGTGGACTCTTGAGTCTGATTTTATTCCACTTTATGATAAGAAGATGATTGCAATTAGTCTTCATATGAATATAGCAGTCAGGAAAAGAAAAATAAGGTTAATCTAAGATTGGGTTTGCTTGTTTAAGAAATGTTTGTCAGTTTGTGCATTTTGGTGTTCATCATCCTATCATACAGATAATGCTACATTCAGGATTTTTTTTTTTTTAAGTCTGCTACAATCAAAACCATCACAAATGTACACATGTATTAACACTGGTGCTTTCTGTGGCTGGCTTCAAAGTCACATTTCCTCAATTTAAAAATGAATCAGGTGAGGTTTTACTAAAGCTCTGCCAGCTTGCAGTTTTAAATTGCTTATGAGAAGGAAATCATATTCCCTCCGTCAATAACATCACCATTAATTACACAGATCCTGCTACCTAGTACCTAGTTGGCAATTTTCCCAAGAATGCACAAATTTGAACAGTTTTAGCTTTCTTGCTTTTACTGGATATTCAGAGTTTAATGGATTTAACATCTTGCTTTGGTCAAGAGCAGGAGATGTATTGAATAAGAGATTTCATTTTTCAGCAAGTATTTTTTCTTACTATAAGTACTTAAAGACCAGATTACCTATAGAAAAAAATAGTTGTACAATATTGTATTAGAAGACATCTTCATACGGCATCTGGAACATAAAGGAAAACTTATTTTACTTCTTTGATAATATGAACTAACCCCCTGCCGTTCCCAGCTAAGAACCAAACCAAGTTCATAATCCAAAGGTGTTGCAATTATTCCCAAGGCCAAATGCAGTTAGTTGTCATCTGAGGGCTATAAAACTGAGGAAACTAACATCTGTTAGTGCTGGATATAAAAGGAGTATATCTATTCTTTAGAATTCATTTAATAGAGAGAAATGAAGCTAAATTCCAACCTGGGTGAAATGAATTGTAAATAATTTTGCTTAGAATAATTAAGAATAATAAGTTATGTTATACGCCCCAAGTAATATAAAAATCTCAGCACTTTGGCAGGAATTGGCTCTATAAGCATGCTTGCTTATCCTCAGGTAAATGGTGTGTTTGACTTCTGATAATCTACAGGGACTTAACCCTGGCTTCAGTTCACAGCGATTTATTTATTTATTTATTTATTTATTTATTTATTTATTTATTTTTAGTTCACTGTGATTTTTAAGCTTCCCCTGATGGCAGAGAGAGAATGGGAATGGGAATGTTCTGATGTATAGGGAAACAGAGTTGACGCTTGTGACCTGGATTCATGTTTGTTTATCAGTATTAGACACATTGTATCTATTTTGACTGATTTTTCTTATGGAAAGAAAAATGGTTTTGCTTGAAATATATTCTATGGCTTTGCACTTACTTTTTCAGCAGAGGAAAAGAAAAATGCTTCTAGAATTGACTTTTGCATTTCTATTGAACCATGCATGAATTTCATCAGAGAGAGTCAGAGACAGAGAACCCTTGAAAGCCACAAAACATTATTCTTTCCGGGGGCATGCTATTAGAATTGTCCCCCTACTCAATACAGGAAAGACTTTCAGAATGAGATAAAGAGGTGGAAATGTTCTTAGGCCTTTGTTATGAATGTAATATTATAAGTACACAGGAAATTTAAAAATTAGAAAAATCAGAAAACTAAATGGATGGAAAAGAGTGAAGGCAAGATTCTTTTTATAGGAAATTCTTGCCAATTATTTTGGAGGATATATTGGTGTTTGGAGTGAGATGACTCATTTTGTACTAGGATTTTGGGTAAAGCAGCTCTTTTCCTGGCCAACTCATATCTGACTCATTTACCACTAGTGAATAAGGGATAAAATGCTCCTGGCTAAGAACCATTGTAAGTATTTTTTGTTCATTTTTCTTGGATGGGGGGGCAAGAGGGAGATGACAGCACAGTGAAAACAGTCATTTCATTTTTACAACTTATTGATGGACCATGAAGAGTAAATTGTTTGAAAAAGGCTGATATGTGGGGATGCATTTTGGGGATGATTAATTGAAATACAGTTTTCAAAACATAATCATCAGGTGGCAAAGGACTTGAGCAAGAGAGAAAAAATTAGAGGATCAGAAAAAAAGACAAAAAAATTAAATGGGGCCCAGTTATATGTTCAAAGAATACTTAAATAGGTAGACCTGGTCACATAGCATATCATTTAGAAGAGAGAATTGTGATTTTGGGTTTCTTCTTGTTTGGTAGGAGACTGCACCTTTAAAAGATTATAGCTTGCATTGGTTGGGTATCTGTTTCAAATGCTTCTACTTTGAAAAGGTCAGTGCAGTATTTAGGTTTATTCTTGGATCCTAGTTCAGGCTCTGCTGAAAAATCAAGAAAAAGCTCTCTCTGGCAATCAAAACTTCAGGATGATCAACTATTATGTTATAGGGAACACATTTACACTCTAGAAATCCTGACTGTCTCTTTATCTCCTTTTTTTAAACCAAAACAAAAACTGAAAGTTACATTTTTCAAATGTCAGTTTGACCTATTGATTATAGTGTGAATCATGTTAGATTTTCTTAGTACAATCCAATCTGGTTGTTTATTTAATCATTTCATCTTCAACTTTTGGCAACCTTTCTCATGAATGAGATGGTTTCAAATCATTATATAATACAAAAGGATGAGAAAATATATGATTCCAAGTCTAGCTGGGTTTTTTCTTTTTGAGTAACTGTCTTATTCATGAGTATAAAAAAAGTATTACGATATGCTGGAAAACCCCAGGTGTCATCTCCCTTAGCTTTGAATGGTCTATCACTCATGCCAAGGACATTAATAACTATATTTTTCTGTATCTGAAAATTTATATAGAAATATAGACCACTATTAAATACACATTCATGTCTAGTATACCTAGAAATACAACTTTGTTTTCCATTCTTTAGGATTGTGTCTCCAAGGCTTCTAAAAGCTAAATATTGTACAAATTATGCAGGTTTCTGATTTTTCTCTATGATACCTTTATTTTGAGCACTTGTTTATCTCACCAGGCAAATATTCCAATATAAACTTTATTCTTAATTTTCATCCAGTGTCTATAAAGTCTTAGTTGAAAAGTGGGCTAAGTGGGCTAAGATTTGGAAGCTCCTGATAAAAGGAAGGATAATCTGACCCTTCTTTTCTTCTTTTTCCTCCTCCTTCTGGGACCATCTTTTTATGTCTTTTCAGTGCCTACCTTGTGGTCATGGGGCCTTTATGAAGTCTAACTTAGTATGATAGGGATTCAATCCAGTGCCCATTTCTATATTCAGGGTTCCATTCTGAATTCTTTAAAGAAGTGTTTTATAAGGAAAAAGAAACATATTTGAATAGAACTGTGAGTAAAATAAGATGCATGATAACTTTTGCTGCCCATCATCTCATCTTCATCCATCTCTACTCCTTCACTCTTGTCTTCTTCCCACTACAAAGGAAGAATAGAGTGTGACTCTAGAATCAGCTTGCAAAGGTTCAAATCCCATCTTCAATTTAAGAATTGTGTGATCACGGGCAAGTTACTTATCTCCCTGGGCTTTATTTTCCTTGTCTTTAAAATGAAGGGAAAATTTCATAGGGTTTTGAGGATGAAATAAAATAGTATGTCTTAACACAACACCTGATACATAGTAAGTACTCAATAAATGTTGGTTTTATTATTTTTTCCGTCATTTTTCTTCTTCCACCATTTTTTTTCTCCTTTAATACATAGCTTATCATCCAGTGATCTGTATTAGAATATAGAGGCTGTACTTAGGCATCTAACCTTTCATAGGTTAAATCAATAGTATGGTCATTAAAAACAAGAGATTGACAAATAATCTCTAAGCAATAAATTGAGTTAATTAATCTGCAATTAGCTGGCTTAACTCAAGACTTTCACAATGCCTAATACATTGTAGGTAATAAATAATGAATGAATGAATGAATGAATGAATGAATGAATGAATCCAAAGACAGAAGACAAAATATCGTTAAAATGGTTATATAACATTTTATAATGATACCTGAGCAATTCTTATCTCTCTGGATTTACTATGTTTTCTGAGAGAATCAGTGTTGTTATATTTTATAAGAGTTTTCAAAATGTGTATTTTATATTTTCTTTTATAGTACTCATTGACAATGTCAATTTTCAGATAAGTAGAATCCATAGTACTCATATCACAAATATGGATTGACTGAATAAACATAATAAAGGAGGGGGGGCAAAGTGTCTGTCTGAATGGAGAAAGGAATTGTATATAGGGAGGGAGAAAAACTTGGCAGTGATGCTGACAGATTACAGGATTTTCCTCCAGCCTGCAGAATGAGGAAGGAGAATATCCAGTCCATTCATTCTTTAAACACTTTCTGATTATTCTGTATGGGCCAAAGTGTTGAGAGGCAGGGTCACAAAGCTTCCTCGTAGTCCTCAAAATGTTCATATACTTGGGGATTATATTAGTTTTCTACTTCTCTCTTT